GTCTTGGAGAATGCCAAATAGTGAATGGAGGACATTTTCAGCATTTGCGACATTGAGTTTATTTTTGTAAATTATCTAGTTGTTTCAATTTCTAAATGAAAAAAAAACTTGTTATTGAAAAAATAAAACTTGTTTATTTGGTATGGCTGGATTCAGTTTTCTATAAGCTTTTCAACGAGCCCCCTCATGCCTTATGTTTCCATTTGAAAAAAAAAGTAGGGGTAGCTGGGAGTTAGGGGGTTGAAGAAAAATGAATTATTATATAACCGAAAGATGGAAAAAAATCAAAATCAGTTAAGGTGTTTTGGAGTTTTAAAAAAAAATTAACTCATTCAAAAGATATGAATTTTATTCCGTACCTCTGGCCATCCCCGTATAGCAATTACAGCAACACATTATATAGTTAAATTTTCAAATAAACTTTCATTATAAAATTAACTTTAAGTCAAATGCGGCATATTTATTTATTTGAACTCAAATCTCAATCTATTAGTACTCCAATCGAATTAGATCATAAAATCTGAAAACTAGAAAAAATTTGGCATTTTATTATACTTTATGATAGAAAAGGTTGTGTAGAATGATAATATCAGAAAAGTAACTTGAAAGAAATGACGCCAAGTTGGAAAATTGCAAATAAATGGCATAATTACGCGTTTTTTTCACTTTTTTTACTGCCCACGAAAATCTAAACGACCTATCGGAATATACACAACGACTTAAGGTACCTACAGTCATTTTTCACTAATTTGTTAACTATAAAATAAAGGTCGAACGCGACAATATAAGTTTTCGAAAATTGCGCATTGTTATTGCAAAAAGAGGTGGATGTTGATGAATTTATGGAAAAGACGGTCAATCCAATGGATACTGAACTCTCCTATTTCGGCTATTTCGTTGCACTTTTATTATTAATTTTTCTTATATTTTCATTGGTAAGCGAAAAGTTATCACCAATCCTTGGGATTTGTTTCGAAATGGACTGTATTTTTTTATTATTACTGGTTCATTGGCATATGATTCTAATTGTCGGCACCGAGAATATGAGACATAAACAAAATGCGATCGGTGGTTTTCTAACCTTGAAACTAGGCGTCTCCTTACAGGAATTTTCGCACCCTCGCACTTATACCGCAGGCGGATACCGGCCGGTTTCGTAATGGAAAACACCAGAGGTTTTGGATAGCGGAATAATAGCGAACACAAGTGAGCGTATGGGTTCAAAGAGAGTCACCATTCAAGTCCATTATTTCGAGTCGTCGCCAATAAAGGCGTCGAAAACCACCAATATTACGCGGTAACAACAATGAACAAAAAGATACAAATTAAAGATTCTTAGAATAATAATAACAGTTAGAAATAGAATACAATATATATATAAAAAAAAACTAAATAAGATAAGTAAAAGCGAAAGAGGATTTGTTTTTAAGTTATCTAATTATTAATTTTTACTTTTGAATATTTTCAGTTTTGTTTCCCTACTTGTTTATAATTTAAGGTATAATCTTTCCGAAGTCAGTTGAACATGTATAAAAACCCCTAGCAATATAATTTAATAGAAGGTGCCTATATTAAATTAAAATTACCTAAATCACACCAAATTCCGCATTACTGCACTAATAGGCAATTTATCAACCACTTATCAACAGCTGAGATTTATTGCCCAGTCGCCCAGTTCGGCTGTCTGTGTACGCCGTTTACCCGCGCGCGCATTATTCTACTCGACGTATACATTTCTACCACTTTCACGTTTAGTTCGACCAGACCTGAATATGGGTATGGTTAACTATACAGGGTGTCCCTGAAAAGGATGGACAACGCTTCACCATAGGTTCCTTGGATAAAAACAATACCATTTAGCCCAACTTACCTATATACAAAAGTGCACGCCTACTGAGATATAGCCTTCTAAATATAGAACAGATAACCTAGTTTTTTTCAAATAATATGAAAACTGTTTTTCTTAGAAACTTCAAATTTGGTACACATATTTTTTATATAAGGGCAATGTAAATGTAGAATTTGGTGAGAATACATATACAGGATGTTCTCTTTCTAGTGCCTGTGCGCCACTGGCTATCTCGTAACTTTTTTGTCTTACAAAATTTTGCTATCGTTTATGGATTTCGAGTAAATTTGGCATTTTTTACACATTAAATAATATAAAATCAGTTTAAGATAAATAGAACATTTCTAGTACGAAGTGCCATATAACAGAGAAACAAATTCATAACAATAATTTAAAGGTTCTGTGTGAAGCTTTGATTAAATTTTAGCTTACTTTGTTTTTTATTGCAATTTATACTTTTGCTGAACAAACTGATACGTTAGTAGTTTTGGGTTATTGTGAAGGAAATTGTTGTGCTACTGTTCGAACATATGCTGAAAGATTTCCTAATCGAAGAACTCCAAATCACAAAACAATTGCTAATGCGGAGAGACGCCTTCGGGAAACAGGACGTTTTTTACCGGTAACATTAAATCGTGGATAATGTATGGCCGGAGTTATTTAGCTGGAGGAACAAATTTTGGAAAGGGTCGAAGAAATTGCTCAAGTAACTAAAAGGCGTTTAACGTCAGAGGTTCGCTTTCAAAAAGTTCCTTTAATAAAGTATTAAAAGTTATTACAGGTTACAGGTATTACAGGGTACAGGTAGGTATTACAGGTTATTAAAGGTCTAACAGGTGGATAGGTAGAGGAAATAATACCCCATTAAAATGGCCACCTCGATCCGCGGACCTAAACCCATGTAATTATTTCATTTGGGGAGCGTTGAGGACCACAGTTTAAAATAACTTTTCAGTAAATACAGAAAACGAATATGGGAAAGAATACAACATGAAATTAATGTTATGAGAGGTAATGCACAATTATTGGATAATTTCTAATTTTCGAAGAACTAATGTTTGCGTTTAAGAACAAGAAAGTAACTTTGAGCATTTACTGTAATATTATTTTAATGTGATTACAAATATCAGTTTATTTAAAATGTTAATGTTGACTTTCTTACATTATTAGTTGATATTGTTTATTTAAAATATTAGTGTTGATTTTTATTATATTGATTGATAATACTAATACCAAAAATGTGTAATTATTTTTTTTAATGTGACGTTTTCCATTATTATTCCCTGCTTTGAGGCTGCAGTTATAAATTATTTTTTATAAATCGGAATTTTTGCCTATATTTAATGTATAAAAAATGCGAATTTTACTCGAAATCCATAAACGATATCGAAATTTTGTAAAACGATATCGAAATTTTGTAAGAGCAAATAAATCCTTTATAATAGTGCTTATTTTTAAAAATATAAATTCTGTCGTCTTTGGCATAGGTACACACAAAAAAGTTACGGGATAGCCAGTGGCTGGCACACAGGCACTAGAAATAGAACATCCTGTATATGTATTCTCTCCAAATTCGATATTTACCTTGCCCTTATATGAAAGAATAAGTGTACCAAATTTTAAGTTTCTAAGAAAAATAGTTTTCAAATTATTTGAAAAAAAAACTATCCAAGGAACCTGTGGTGGTCAAGCGTTGTCCATACTTTTCAGGGACACCCTGTATATGGGAACAAGTTTTTCAAATATTTCAATACTGAGTTGCTGCGTCAGCGACCGAACCTGGTACATACTATCAATCTGTTGGTTCTTCAATTATATTGGAAAGACTATAAATAAAACAGTTTTATAAATATTAAGTTCATCAGTAAATTTTTTTTTGATGACCAAACTGCATTTGTAGAAACTAAATACGCAACTTAGAAAAAACAATGAGTTTATCTTAAAATATTCATCACTTTAGCAACGTTAAACTGAAATATTACTATAATATGAATTTTTAAGACTTAAAACGTCGTTCATATTTTCCGACTGTGGTCCCTAAGCCCTCCATTTTTGTTTATCCGTGAAAGGTACACTAAATTATGCAGTCTAATTCAGCAGGAAAAATGAATGGCATGCATAAAACATTTCCTTCCAGGGACTCAACTCCTCGCACAAGTTATTCGAAATATTCACTCCTCCGCAAGAGCTATAAAACTACAAACTTCTTTTCAGGTTTTACGCCGTTCTCAAACCACTCCACTTGGCCGCCTTGGACCGGAGGGAGAGACTTATGTTGATAGGGGCCTGGTTGGGCGCCGTCCTCTGCAGCTTGCCCCAGGTGAGCATTTCTTTCTGTAATAGGCAATGATTTCGATTTTCTTTTCGCCTCCGAAACGAATTGGAGACGTCTTGCGGTACTTTTAGCATGGAGAGTACTTAAAAAAATAAAGGCATCCTTTTTATACAAAGTGTTCTTAAAGTATGTTCCGACAATAAATCAAAATATTCTTTCAATTATTTTAAGGAAAAGGATTTTCAGGAACTTATGTCCTAAATGCTGTAATTTTCGAGATACAGGACGAAAAATATCACAGCAGGATTTATCAAACTTATGATCAGAAAGCGGACAATTTGTAACTTTAACCTTGAACATAGATATGTCATTCATAAACCTAGATACATTACCCATGACGCAGTGACGTGTCGGGTATGCATCGGAAATTTACGTGATAATTCACGAAAATTCCACGGTACATACATTTTTAGGCATTATAAAATATTTAGAAAATCAGAAATTGTATACTACATATTTATTAAATAAAGTTCGGTTAAAAATAGTGTCGTTCTTTTAATTGGAAATTAGGAGTCAATGTAACGAATATCTTCAGGCGACGCACATGATAGAATAGTCCAACTCACGCTAAATTCATAACAGGGCTGCAGTTTGAATTATGACCAATAGGAATTCGATAAACGCAACCGATGTCGACGGAAGGACTAGAGATGGGCGCGAGTGTCATTTCATTTCTTTAGAACTAAATTAACTTAATTATTTTCTCGTTATTTAACCTGTTCACATGATTTATGGATTTTAAATAAAGGGTACAAATCTTCGCGAGGATAATACGATATATTTGCTATACATAATAATTATATTTTACATGGTTTATACACAATACATTTTTGAACGCGTACACATCTCTACCAAAATTTGACCTATTCTTCGGGTTAAAG